GTTCTTTAATAACTCAAAAAATGGTCAAACATAAACTTTTCCTCTATTTGATAACATCAAACAAAATAATTTAGAATAATACTTTAGCGATTAATGTCTAAATAAATACGCCTATCTTTCAATATATTGACAAATCTATTCAAAACTGCATAGAGCTTCCTTATCGCTACGCTTAGACAGTTGAATAACAAAAGAATTTTCAGGTGATTTTCTTCTCTTTTTTTTTCTTCTTCTTCTGATTATCAGTAATTTTATCAAAGATATTTGTCTGTCGAAGTTTTGAAAAGGAATAGACAAAACAAAACACAATGACACTTGGAGGACAGTAATCGATGAATGATACAGAAGGAATATGACAAAAGAAGGTAACTAACTACCTGAAAGTGTTATGAAAGGAGAAAATGTTGCAGAGGCGTGATGTCTGTAGAAACTGATTGTTGTTAGTTGGTTCTGTAGAAGTATATTTTTTCAGTTGTTCTAAAGATGGTTTCTGACAGGTCAAACGGCAGTGCACTTCAGTGGTTAAATGTCTGCCTTATTTGAGTGTTTAAATTTTTAGTTCTATTTTTTTGTCTAAATCCCATCAAATGTCAATTTCAGTCTTTAAAACTACCGTTATTATTATTATTATTGTTATTATTATTATTAATTGTTCTTCTTCTTCTTATTATTATTATCATCATTAATTTCTCTTCTTCTTCTCATTATTATCGATGTAAAAATTAATATCAACTGGTTCAGCTAAAAAAACAAAAGAGTATTATTGTTTTTTTTTTTAAAATTAAATTTACAGACACTATAATTAATGTATTGTAAAACGGTAATTCTGAATTTGCAATGTACCAACCAACACTTCTGAGCAGTCACTAAGTTTGCGAAGGTTGTCAGTGACAAAGAAATAATATTAATTTATTTGTTGACAACTATCAGATAGTGTTGTTTCAGGTATTTCTTCTTCTTTTTTTCTTCTATAATATATATATATATTTTTGTTTTGTTTGATTAGAGGTATTGAAGAATTGTAATCATATAAGAAATTTGTGGTGAAACTTGTTGTTGTCTATACAAATAAACATTTGATAAATTAAATCCAGCAGCGGTTTTCTTAATTATCAGAAACAAAAAAAAAAACTTTTGTTTTCTAAGTCAAACGAAAATTAAATTATTTTTTTTAAATTTTTTTCTCAAAAAATTTTTATTTTATACATTTTGATATAATAAATTTTAGTGTTACATTCTGGTTACTGGTTGCTATTTAACAGAACTGGTCAACCAACAGAACAAATCATACATACTTTTTTGCTTGTTGTTTCAGCTGAAATAATAGTAGTTTTCTTTTTTGTTTTGTCATTATTTAGTAATGACTATATAACTGCTGTTTTTTAGTAACAGTAAAAGTTGTTGTTAAAAAATTAAAGAAAGCTTGTAAAAGGTTAAAAAAAATGGTTTAAAAAGTTACACTTAAATCTACAGACGATTAAAAGTATCGATATTTTGATGGAGGTGTGGGATAGAATGCAATTATATTTAAATTCAAAATTTTCGATTACTGATCTCAATTAAACACAAAATGTTTTAAACAATTAAGCTGAATTATTTTATAATAAATTATTAAAAAAATCACTGAAATAATATATGCTTGTTTAGAATTTTATTCAACAACAATAAGCATTATTTAGCGTAAACAGATTTGCTGCTGGTTAATTTTAAATAATTTTTCCATTTCTATTCCTCAAAAAAAAAAGGTTTCTTTTTATTTCAACAACTAAAACTTACCTTTCACATAGGCTAAACTAACAGCGGTAGCAACAGCAAAACAGCACTTATCTAAGTATCGATTAAGTTTGCCTTTTATGACACCACTATTTTTTAATCTTATAATTTGTTGCTTTTTTTTTTTTCTAAAAATTTATCAAAGATTTATTTATTATTTAAGAAAAAGAAACTTTTTAGTTTTACACAGTTGACAATTGTTTTTTTTTTTTTCTTTGACTATTATTATTTCTACTGTAAAATATAAGTTGTCAAATAGAATAAATCAAAAAGTTACAAAGCAGAAAATTTATATTCTTAGCATTTTTCTAAAACGCAGTTTTGCAAACCCTTTTATTAAGCAGCTGTTGAGTGCTGTTATAACTATTCCAAATATATAAATCTTTTTCTTTTTTCTTTTTTGTTTATAAATTTATCAGTGAATTCTAAATTAATTACAATTCTTTTTCAAAAAAAAGAAATCTTTGAAAAGAAACTATAAAGTGTTGAAAAAGTTACTTTTTTTTTTTTTTTGTCAGAATATATCGACGGGTACAGCAGTGATGACGACAATGGCAAAATTTTTCCTATTATTCCAATCTGTTACACTTTTGAGGGATGCAGTCAATTATTGGTTGTCATTGAATTAGCGTAGAAAAAGGTAGAAAAAAAAATTGCATGTCACCCAAAAAAATCAAATTAAGAGTTTTTCTTTCACTGCTTTTTTTTTTTGGTTCGGTTTAGTTCGGTTTGGTTTGATTTGATTTGATTTGTATTACGCTAAGCAAATGTTCAACCTTTCGACACATTAATTATTGACAAAATTTTATGCTCCATTTCTGTTCCTTCTCTTTATCCTTTTCACCTTCCACTGATCCTTCTCTTCTATTTTTTTTT